GGGATTTTCATGTGTATATCAGTATCAAGTGATCCATACAAATAAGCAGTAACAACATCCATAAGATACATATCAAAATTGTTAAATATTGATAAACCAATTAAGTAACAAAAAGTAATGACATCCATAACAGGAGAATACGTTACCTCATAATTGATTCGTGGTCTTTGGTAAAAACCTTGTGCAACAAGACGGGCATTGTATTTGACAATCTCATTTTTCTCATTTCGTTTTCTTACAAAGACCCACTTATACCCAACCGGTTTCACATCTTTTGTTATAGTCATAATGGGGCCAAATACTTTTCGATTTTTAAGAAAATTTATTTCAGTATCTATTGCATCCTTCTAATTTTTCCAATCATGTCTATTTTGACATTCATTCATAGTTCTTGGTTCGGGATCATCATTTTCATTCATAATTTCACATGCAATGGAGAATGAAAATATTTCATCTATATTTATATCTTTTCAGTTCTACAAAATTCCCATATCTACATAATTAATTGAAATTTCAAGATCATTCTTGTTTTCATTTTCATTATCAATGATCTCATTATTATCATATTGTGCTTCTTTAGTAGCACGTTTTTCAATTGTCGATTTATTATCATCTAGTGTCTTTTCAAGATCACTTTCAACCACATTCACCTTAGATGTGACAGACCCATTTTGTCTTTAGATCCCATAGGTCGACCATGCTTTAAGTGTACCTTAGATGTGCTTGCTACATCATTTAGATTTGAAATCTCAAGCCGAGCTGGAGCATTTATAGCTGCTACATGTGACTTTGTCACTCTTTTCAAATCAGTAAAAGAATTTGGCAATTAATTTGCCAAATCTTGTAAGTGCATAATTTTCTTTACATTTTCTTTCCATTATTTACTATATAGGTCCAAATGTAATAAATGGGGTACAAACCATGTTATCTCATTTTCTAATTTTTTATTTTCTCCCCCTAGTGTTGGAAATTTTATTTCGTTAAAATGACAATCAACAAATTTTGCCTGAAAAACATCGTCTGTTAAAGGTTCAAGATATCTAGTAATAGAAGGTGATTCATACCCCACATATATTCCCCAACCTCCTTTGAGGTCCCATCTTTATTTTTTGTGGTGGAGATATTGGGACACATACCGCACAACCAAATATCTTTAAATGAGAAATATTTGATTCCTTACCAATTGCAAGTTGATAAGGTGTATGCTTATGATTAGCACTTGGTCTTAGACGGATGTGTGTTGCAGCATGTAAAATTGCATGACCCCAAACAGTAACTGGTAGTTTAGTTTTCATAATTAATAGTCTAGTAATATATTGAAGACATTTGATTAAAGACTCGGCTAAACCATTTTGTGTATGCATATGAGGAACAAGATGTTCAAAAATAATTCCAATTGACATGCAATAATTATTAAATGATTCAGATGTAAATTCACCAGCATTATCAAGTCTAATTTTCTTTATAGTGTAATCAGGAAATTGAGCCCTTAGTTTAACTATTTGTGCAAGAAATTTTGTAAATGCCATATCACCGCTTGACAGTAAACATACATATGACCATCTACTAGATGCATCAATTAATACCATAAAGCACCTGAATGGTTTTGACGGTGGATGGATAAGTCCACATATATCACCTTGAATTCTTTCAAGAAATGCAGGTGATTTTGTCTGAATCTTACATGGTGAATGCTTTGCTATTAGCTTTCCAAGAGAGCAAGCTTCACATGATTTATCTCCTTTTGTAAGTTTTAAACCTTTCAATGGATGAACATGGCTACTTTCAACTATTTTATGCATCATTGTTGAACCAGGGTGACCTAAACGGTCATGCCATAAAGTCATTATTTTCGAATCTTCTTTTACTACTAAATTACATTCAATTGCATGTATGTAAGTATAATGTAATCCAGAAGGCAATTATGGTAGTTTTTCTAAAGTTTTCTTCTTTCCCAAAACATTAGTAGTAATGTTAATATATTTCATATTACCTTCCGTTGCAGTTTCAGTGTCATATTCTTGACGATATATGTTATTAAAACTCAACAAATTTCTCTTTGATTTTGGACAGTATAAAGCATTATTAATGACAAACTTTGTTCCATTTGATAATATGAACATAACATTACCTGTTCCTTCATTCAAATCTGCAGGACCTGAGATTGTATTTATTACACCTCTAGTAGGATTTATTTCAGTGAAATATTTCTTACATTTGAGAATTGTGTGGGTAGTTCCATTGTCTGAAATGCAAATATTTTCAACATGTTCCATGTCTAACCTTCTTAAAATAGAAATAAGATTAAATAGAGAGTAAATCAAAACAACATATTTAACATTATTATTTATAACATTGGATACACCAAACAATATACAAATACTTATGTTTGTACATAGTTCAAATATAAAATTAATACAAGCATATCACACATTATTCATAAATATTTTAATCCATTGTTCCTTCAACAAAATCAGCAACCTTAATACATGTAGTATCATTTTCGATTTCAATTTCATTAAAATTTACTCCCTTCCCCTTTCCCTCTATAGATGTCTTGTTTCTTTTACACAAATGCTCTGGTGTTCTACATGTCTTAGACCAATGACATTTCTTTTCGCATCTATAACACAATTCATCATGATTCCTCGAGGAGCCCTCTTGAATATAAGTACCCCTACCTTGACGATACCTGTTAGTTTGGTCATATATGAGAAATCTATAATTATTCACATAACTTCGTCCACGACCTCGACCACGAAAGTGGTTTCGACCGTGATATCCGCCTCGACCAGGACCCTCAAAACGAGCATATAATCTCCACGTTTTTTGTTACGATTATAGCCACCACCACGCCTTTGATTAAATGTTATGACATTTATCTCAGGATATGCTATTATTCTTGTGGGACGCGACTGGTGATTTTTGATAAGGAGCTCATTATTTTGTTCAGCTACTAGAAGGGCTACAACTAAATCAGAATACTAAAAAAATTCCCTCATTTTGTATTGTTGTTGCAACAAAACTTGGGATGCATGAAAAGTTGAAAAAGTTTTTTTCCAATTTTTATTCTTCAGCTATAACTATGTCACACAATTCTAATTGTGCTATAATTTGGTGCATGACAGAGTTATATGCAACAACACTTTTATAATCTTGGAACCTTAATTTGTTCCACTGATCAATTAATGAGGGCAACAAGACTTTCCTCTGATGTCCAAATCTTGCCTTAAGTTTGTCCCACAAAATCTTGAGATCTTTTGCATTTAAATATTTTGTTTGTAAACCTTCGTCAAGGTGGTGTTTGATTATTCGATTTACTTTTGATTTTTTCATTGCCATCTCTTCTGGGTCAACAACTGACTTTCCTGGAATTTCTCCTTCAAGGATTTTATCAAGTCCCTCACAAGCAAGATACTCTATTAAGTTGTTATTCCATGTTATGTAGTTGTCCCCGGTTATGTTTAGAATTTTGAAGTGATACTTAATATTTGACATGATTCTATCTAGAATTCAAAAGATCATAATCAAAATTTAATACATAAACAAAAAATATATGTCAATTTATTCAATAACAACGATTACAAAAACTATGATCATGTTTTATTCAAAAACCTTTATTAATAAAATAAGCTAAGACTAATAATGGTAAAATAATCAATATCATTAACGCTACATAATCTTTACATAATTCTTCATGCTTGATAATACCGTCGAGGAATAAAATAATGACAAGTAGAGTGATGAACAAAAGAAAACATTTAGCCATTTGAAAGATATAGATAAATTTTTGAGAATGATATGGAATTTGTGAAAGAAGTTGAATTATATCTAAGATAAATTTGTAAAACGGCCGATATAGTTACCGTTAGAGAAAAGAAAAGAAAAAAAAAACAAAAAGAGAGAGAAAAAAAAAGCAAAAAGAGAGAGAAAAAAAAAGTCATCAAATCAAATTTAAAGTGTGTTCAATATTAACTAGCTATTACAAGAGTTTAAAGATAATTATAAGGTAACATATGAGAGTTTAAACCTCCATTAAATATAAAAGTTAGTGACTGAATATAAAAGTTAGTAACAAAAAATAAAAGTTAGGAACTGAATATAAAAGTTAGTAACTAAATATAAAAGTTAGTGACTATAAACCTCCATTAAATATAAAAGTTAGTGACTAAATATAAAAGTTAGTAACATAATATAAAAGTTAGAAACTGAATATAAAAGATACTAACTACGTATGAGGTTTTAAACCTCCACACAAAAAATATAAAAACCATACTTATTATAGAGCACTTGACAAGTTGTTAGTTTTCTATAATAAGGGGGTAAAGTAAAAATAACAATAAAAATCAATCTAGTTATAAATCACTTGACTAATTTCTAGTTTTCTATAACCATATTAAATAAAAATTATAACAATAATAAGATTAAAGTGATTAGTTTAGAAGATATACCTAATGTAGTAAATAACTTATGATAGAAACGATTGTGCTAATAAGGTGTTGAGAAAAAACGATTTTGAATATTTGTTAATATTTATAAATTAATATAAGTTACTAAACTAGTTGTAACTATTAAACTTAGATGAAAGATTGAAGAAAGAAAAATGCTTTACTTATGCTTTTAAAGTAAATTTTTTGGTGTATTTTTACATTGGCCGAAGATAATATTTATACTACTAAAAATGTAACTATTACACTAATATAATAATTGAACTTACTATTTTAACTTTGACAAATTATGTATCTACAATAATTTGTCATTACTACTTAAATAAATATTTCTAAATAATAATATTATGAATTATAAAATAGTGAAATCAAAATGCTTTTTTATTAATTTATAATCGAATTGAACCCTCATTCAAAATCCTTCATTTTTTCACCGATTTCCCCCTCCAAACCCTCACTCTTCAATTTTCTGATCCGTTATATATTCTTTTCCCTCACTCTCACCAAAACTTCGAAAACCCAAAACCCTAGCAGAGCTCACACACAAGCACCATGGAATGGAACCCTCAAACTCTTCAATTTCTTTCTGAATGCTTCCTCAACACTCTCTCTCCGGCACCAGAGCCTCGCCGCCGCGCCGAATCCTCCCTATCTGAAGCAGCCAACAGTCCCAACTTCGGCCTCGTCGTACTCCGTCTCGTCGCAGAACCAGCCGTCGACGAGCAGATCCGGCAATCCGCCGCCGTCAACTTCAAAAACCACCTCCGTCTCCGATGGTCATTAGAAGATAGTTCGATCCTTGAAACCGAGAAGGAACAGATCAAAACCCTAATTGTCCCTCTCATGCTCGCCGCTACTCCCAAAATCCAATCTCAGCTTAGCGAAGCCCTAGCTATCATCGGCAACCACGATTTCCCCAGAGCATGGCCCACGTTACTCCCTGAACTCGTCGCCAGTCTAAAGAATGCATCTCAGGCTAACGATTACACTTCCATTAACGGTATTCTAGGTACTGCTGATTCAATTTTCGGGAAATTTCGTACCCAGTCTCATTCCAATGATCTCTGGATTGATTTGAAGTATTGTCTCGATAATTTTGCTGCTCCTTTGCTTGAAATTTTTCTTAAGACTGCGTCGTTAATTGACGCTGCTGCTACTGCGGCACCACCACCGCCTGCGGCAAACCTGCGACAACTGTTTGAGTCGCAGAAATTGTGTTGTAGTTTATTTTACTCGTTGAATTTTCAAGAGCTCCCTGAGTTCTTTGAGGATCACATGAGGGAATGGATGACTGAGTTCCGAAAATACCTTACTACTAGTTACCCTTCTCTTGAGGGCAGTGGACCTGATGGTCTTGCTCTTGTGGATGAACTTAGGGCTTCTGTTTGTGAGAATATTAGTCACTATATGAAAAAGTATGAGGAGGAGTTTAAGGGATTCTTGAATGATTTTGCACTTGCTGTTTGGACTTTGTTGGGGAATGTGTCACAGTCGACAAGTCGTGATCAACTTGCTGTCACAGCTATTAAGTTTTTGACCACAGTTAGCACCAGTGTTCACCACACTTTGTTTGCCGCTGATGGGATTATACCGCAGATTTGCCAGGGCATTGTGATCCCTAATGTGAGGTTGAGGGAAGATGATGAGGAGCTGTTTGAGATGAATCATATTGAGTATATTAGGAGGGATATGGAAGGCAGTGATGTTGATACACGCAGGAGGATTGCTTGTGAGCTGCTTAAGGGAATTGCCACACATTATGGAGATGCTGTAAAAAGCATTGTTTCTGGGCAAATACAGAGTTTATTAAGTTCCTTTGCTGCAAACCCGGCAGGGAATTGGAAGGACAAGGATTGTGCAATATTCTTGGTAGTCTCTCTTTCAACCAAGAAGGCTGGAACCAGTTATGTCTCTCCAGATCTTGTAAATGTACAAAGCTTTTTTGAATCTGTGATTGTCCCTGAGCTGCAAAGTCAGGATGTGAATGGTTATCCAATGCTTAAGGCAGGTGCACTCAAATTCTTTACCATGTTCCGGACTCAAATATCAAAACATGTTGCATTGAACTTTTTACCCGATTTAGTTCGTTTCCTTGCTGCGGATTCAAATGTTGTTCATTCTTATGCTGCTAGCTGTATTGAGAAACTCTTATTGGTAAAGGACGAGGGAGGTATAGCACGTTATAGTTCGGCAGATATCAGTCCAATTTTTCCAATGCTGATGAACAATCTTTTCAGTGCCTTGAAGCTCCCAGAGTCTGAAGAGAATCAATATGTAATGAAATGTATTACAAGGGTTCTTGGGGTTGCAGATATACAACTTGATGTTGCTAGAGTTTGCATTGAGGGGTTGGGGTCACTTCTTTCTGAAGTTTGCAAAAATCCCAAAAATCCTATCTTCAATCATTATCTCTTTGAATCAGTAGCCATTCTTGTGAAGCGTGCCTCTGAGAGGGACCCATCTCTTGTGTCTGTTTTTGAAACAAGCCTTTTTCCTAGGCTTGAAATAATATTGTCCAATGATGTAACTGAGTTTTTCCCATACACATTTCAGTTGCTTGCTCTGCTTGTTGAGTTAAACAGACCACCCATCCCACCAATCTACATGCAGATATTTGAGATTCTTTTGTCTCCCGACTCTTGGAAAAGAGCCTCAAATGTTCCTGCCCTTGTGCGTCTACTTCAGGCTTTCCTTCAAAAGGCACCAAATGAGATCAGCCAAGGGGATAGATTGACCAAAGTACTTGGCATATTTGACACACTGATACAATCTTCAAGCACTTCTGAACAAGGATTTTATGTGCTTAACACTGTCATTGAGAGTCTTCCGTATGATGTTATTAAGCCTTATATTTCTCACATTTGGGCTGCTATTTTTAGGGAGCTCCAGAAAAGGCGGCCAATAAAACTCATTAAGTCTCTCTTGATATTCATTTCACTCTTTCTGGTTAAACATGGTTCATCAAATGTAATTGATACTATGAACGCCGTCCAGCCTGATATATTTAGTGCGATTTTGACCCAGTTCTGGATTCCTAATCTTAAGCATATTATAGGAAAGATAGAGCTCAAACTGACTGCAGTTGCTTCAACCAGACTCATTTGTGAGTCTCCAGTCCTTTTGGATCCTGCAGCTTCTGTGTCCTGGGGTAAAATGGTGGACAGTATTGTGACACTTCTTTCCCGGCAAGAACAAGATAGGGTTGAGGATGAAACTGACATGCCAGATATTGCAGAAAAAGTGGGTTACACCGACACTTTTGTCCGACTTCACAATGCTGGAAAGAACGTAGAAGATCCACTTCAAGATATAAGAGATCCCCGGGAATTTTTTGTTGCTTCATTGTCCCAACTTTGTGCACGTTCCCCTGGTAGGTACTCTAAAGTCATCAGTGAAAATGTAGATCCTGAAAATCAGACAGCACTGCTTCAACTTTGCAACACTTACAAACTCTCCTTAGTTTGAGTAAGTTGTGTACTTGAGAGTTATTTTCTTTGGATTTGTGCTTATTGGTTTTCTGTCCATGACTTCTCCTTAATCTACCCTTGATATATTTTGACATACATAATGCTGTCCAATGTTTTCAAACTTTATGTCTGTTACAGTTATTATTATTCTCTAATTTGGATCTATGTTGCTGTCATAATATTTATCTGTTTGTATCGGTAGCAACTAGCAAGGGAAGACAGTTCATGCATGATTTGATAATTGTAGATTTATCATAAAACTCAGGAACTTTTATTAGGATCATATTACTATAATCAACATTTGCTCAATTCATTATTTTATTGCCCATCTTTGACCTCCATAATGTGAATTCATTTTGTTTGCTTTAAATCTACGAACTAGTCCGAATGTTTAGTATTTAAATATCTTCTCATTGCTCTTCTCATTTTTTTTGTTTAACTTAATGCTTAATCAGAGTCATTAATCCCTGATAGTGGAGTGGAGCGGCCGACCCCAAAAGTGGGATAGCGGGATAGCAGATATTGGGATATTTTTTGTTGACTTTTTAGAATTGATTTTTTTTGAACTAAATATATAAATAATCTTATACAAATAACACAATACCCATAAAAGTATGAAAATCAAATATAAAAGAAGAAAAGAGAAGAATAGAAAACAGGTTTTCAGAAAACAGAAAACATGTTTTTAGAAAGAAGAGTAAGAGAAGACTAACCCGAGTGAAATCTAAGTAAGGAGCAAGGAGGAAGAAGTCGATGAGTTGAAGGGCAAGGTAATTGAAATTCGAAAATGTCAACAGGAAACGCAGGAGCGGGAAAAGCTAGGGCAAGTGAAGAATCGAAGGAGTGAGAAGAGAATAGAAAACTTTTCTTCAGAAAAGAGAAATTATTGTAGGTGGCTGGAGGAGCGCCGGTTGAAGATGATGATGTTAGGGCAAACAAAAACAGAGCAGTTGAGAGAAGACGAAAAGGAGGAAGTATCGTGGAATGGAAAGGCAATTGGTACTCATATTGACCCTTAAAACTTAAGGGTAAAATCGTAATTGTGCATGAAAAACAGTAAACAAAATAAGAAACTACCAAACCGCTCCACGCGGGATGCAGCGAGAAATTGCGCTCTTTGCACCTGCAATCCAAAACTGGGATCTGCGCCTCTGTTCCGTTGCACATGGTGGCCGCCCCGGCTGGAAATCCCGGGGTAGCGGCTGTGATTCATAACTCTGTGCTTGATCAATCTTTATATATAATAATTTCACTGGCTGCAAAGTTGTTTCTCTGCTTCCCATCAGTAGTTTATCTATGAGATTAAAGTTATTTTTTGTTTGGAGGTGAGAAAGACAATAAATTGTTTAGTTTGAGTGCAAAAGAAAAGTAAGTGTTTTCTTTTCTCTCCCCTTTGTTTTGTGGGTAGAAAGTGAGTAAGAGAGGACTATGACACTATTAAAAGGCAAATATGCATATGAAAGGTATGACTGAAAAATGCATAACCTGCTCTTCTGTTCTCAAGTTTGGAGTGAAAGAAATTTATGGTACTTTTCGAATCATGATTATTGAGTTAAATAAGTGATCTCTCTAATAATGCTTATTTTTTACGTCCCAGGACCTTGTGCTGGAATACCATTGGGCATTACTGTCTGAAGCCTCAGCCTTTTGCAACATTTGAGCGGTCTGTTATCGTCGCCCTACTGTCAATTATACTTATGCATCGCAACAAAGAGATTCCAACAACTATTATCATCATCCAAATTTTGTCTGTTTCATAATTTAATGTGGTGATGAACTGAGGTTTTGTGTTATTCCCATTTTGAATTCTGTCGGCATGTGTTTGAAGTGCCATTTGGTCTATTGGGATTTTAGTGTAAATTTTTTTCATGCCCCCTTTCCCCAATTTTCCTGAGTTTTGTTTGTTGAGCATGCATGTCTGCCGGCATATGGCAGGGAATATCTATAGTCAATTTTCTGTAAAACTTGCATTTTTAATTGAATGACAGAAGGGTTGTTAATAGTGATTTCATATTTTATTTTAATTGCATTAAAACTATTACTATTATTATGACAATTTAGGTGTATCTCGTTAGGTGTTCACTGTTCTTCTTCACTTAAAGTCTTCATAACTATCAATAATTTGTTCAAGTCTAATACTTTTTTAGGAGTTATAATCAACACGTGTATTTCAAGTAAAGAATGGTAACATACTTAAGCAAAATGTGCAGCAAGTATTGTCCTTAAAAATATTGCATGTTTTGCATAACTTTTCATTTAATTCTGAAAATTAGGAATATAATATGGCTTAGTCTCTAGAGAGTAGGGTTTGAAATGTGCTAGGTTAAGTTTTCTGGAGTGTCTGTTGCAGAAGTACGAGAGGTAGGTTTTAAGAAGATTTTAATGAAAAGTAGTAAATCTTTTAAAAAATTTCAAAAATATGATTTATGTATAATGATAAATGAATGTTTATTATTAACATATTTTTATTTTTCATAATATTATAACAATATAAATTAAAATTGAAGAAATTATTTAAGAGGTTAATTGGTATGAGTAAATTTAAAGTGTTTTTATATTATAAATAAATTAAACTCACAATTCTCTCAATTTTTTCCACTCAATCTTCTTTTTTCTTTCTAGAACCATCAATTCCTTTTCGCTCCAAACTTACAATCAAAGTATAAATGTCCAAGCATGACCTATTTATCTTTTATTAGTATTTTTAGCTACGATATAAAGGAAAAGAAACAACCTCTTTAAGAGGTATTGGGGAAGATCACTTTCGATCACATTCCACGAAATTCTCCTTATTGGCTTGCAAGTTATCTCCTTAATTTACTTCCCTCTTATAAATCCTTCGCCCCTTCGCCCAGTAGCTCCAATCCCAAGCTTTATTGTAAATCTCATTTTATTTTTAAATAATTTTAGGCTTCAAAGTTTTAATACAAACAAATATTTAAAAAAGTTTAATTTAATTATAAATATATAAAATGAATATAATTTACACAAATGTCTAAACACCACAAAACATTCAAATAAATAAATAGGACCGTGTTATCATTGAATTTCACATATTTCAACACATAGATATCTTAGTAAAGAATACAAGCTAAGAACTTAACTTACATGCTTACAAATTAGAAGCTAATAAAAATGTAAATTTAAGTAATCACAACAATCTTTCAAATACAAATGATCTTCGACTAACTGATTTCCAATTTCAGCTTTACAACAATGAAATGGGGTTAAGGTTTGTTGGGAGACAACCAAATCTTTCAATTTTTGAAGTTGCATCTTTAGATGTATTAAATTTTAAATGAACGTTGAAATATTTAGGAGATATATCTCTGTAACAATTTAAAATATTCAATACATCTTACTTAAAAGTTATTATACACTTGAATTGGATCAGAGATGTATCTTCGTGATTATTTCAAAGATACATCTTTGTAACGTATCAGAACTTAGTCTATCATGTTATATTTTATTTATCTATATTCAGATGAATATTTAAATTATACCATACAATCGAAAATAAAAAGATCTACGTACATAATTTCATATGATTCACAAATGCCATACATAAATATAATACCAATAAATGTCGAAAATGCCATACAAAATAAAATACAGATCATGCTACTACTACTATCTACTAACACTACAAAAAACATTGCATTTTTCCAAGTGATTCCCACGTCACTAAGCTAAAAATCACTTCACTAGTCACAATTTGCGACGTGGGAGAAACACGTCGGAAATACAATGGTGGGAATTTTTTCCCAAGTGGAAAACACGTCACAAAGTTTGAAAACCAAGTCACTAATTAGTGACGTGAAAATCACATGGGAACCTACTTTTACCTATTTTGTCTGAACGCTTTTCTGACACCATTTAATTATTTTCCCATGTGATTCCCACGTCACTAATTTGTGGCCTTGTTTTCACGTGGGAACCCACACTGAATAAATATTTTTTCCCGTGTGATTCTCACGTCACTAATTAGTGACAGGGGATGCACTTCACTATAAAATTTAATAATAATAAAAAATAAATATTATTAACTGAAAACAGCTATAAAACTAAAATATATAATATATATTCATTATTTTTAAAAATATGTTTTTTTAAAATAATATATATTATGTTTACTAAACTATAATAACTATTCAATAACATAATAATATAATTGGTTTACTAAAAATAACACATTTAAAATATATATTTAATCTGCTAACTAAAATTAAAAATACATATTGTCTAACAAAATTATTTTTATTAACTCTATCAAAATACATATTCTCTAACAAATTTATTTTTATTAACTCTACAAAATTAAAAATACATATTTAACTCTATCAAAACTATTTTTATTAACTCTACAAAATTATTTTTATTAACTCTATCAAAATACATATTTTTATTAACTCTATCTAAAAATATATATTCTACTAAAAATATATATTCTACTACAAAATACATATTTAACAAAATAATATATCAACAACAACACAACAAAATAATATATCACCAAAATCTCAAAAATAAACAAATTGAAAATGCATAAATACCTTAATGTGCTAACTAGCTAGGTCTATCAAATCTTCTTTGAACTTCTTAAATTTTAGATCTGGAAAAAAAAATCAACAATTAGTAATAACATAAACATAAAATAAACGGTAAAACATTCACAAAAACAAGATACATACCAGTCAACTTAAATTTTTTGAGAAATTTTAGTTAGAAATGGAGTTGTGAGGGAGGCAGCAATTGTGAAGAAGAGAGAAATGGAGTTGTGAAGAAGAAACGAAGAAACAAATGAAGATGAAAAGGGATGTTGAAGGAAAATTTGGCTAATTAATATATAGGGAGATTTGCGACATGTTCAACACGTGGGAAGGTACCCACGTGGTTCCCACGTCGGAACAAACATGCTGACTCCCATTTGCGACGTGATAATAATGTGTGAAAGTTGCGACGTGATTCCCATGTGGGAAAGTTATTTATGGCTGTGGG